TGTGCTGTGTAATAATGTCGTATAGAAAGCTTCCTTGGATTACAGCTGGACCTGTATCAATACCATACATCTTCAAGGGACTACTACATTGCTACGTTTTCATAATTCACTACGTCTTGTAAGCATACAATACCCTAGGCATTAAGTCTTCTACAAAGCTTTAATTAGGTATGTCACTGAGGAACATGTACAGGTAAACTTGGTAGATGTGCACAGCTGTACCACCACTGGTCTGCATTCACCCTGCCTCCACAACTTTCCACCTCCCTACCTTCTCATACCACCAAAAAAAACACCATAGCATTTCTCCAATTGCCTCCCTGTCTGAACTGTGGTCAGATCTGACTAATCTGAACCAAAGTATTTATGCCCCTCTTAACAGAGGTTCTTTTTCTTATGGTTACTTGCTTGACAGCCAAACTCTGATTATTTAACAAAAGTGCTAACAGCAGCCCCTGACTCAGCTCTCACATTAAAGCAGAACTATCCCAACCTTAATTTGTGTTTAATATTGATAGCTTGGGTCATGAACTTGTCATACGGCTGCGCTACATCATCCATAGCCCAAGCTTGCTGCTTAAGAGGACACAACCAGCTCTTGATCTCACCAGTCAGGTTGCTTAACGCTCTGAATATGAAGGGTCAACAGGGTTTGAGGCAGACTATCCATCCCGTACTTAAACGCTTTGTACGCCCTTCAGACCTTTAACTGGCTCAAGAGGTCAGGTTTTATCATGCAAGTGAGCAACTCCACTGCAAAAGGACCTTCCCACTTTTGTTCCCCATGAAATGGGCAATAGTGACACACCCTTAAGAGGTAGGCAGTCCTTCAACTTCTTTTTAATCCCTGAAAGCAAAGTGAAGTCTTGATCTTTCCAAGATATTCTGCTCTGTGTCTGTTGTGACACTGATTGCAAGCATAGGTCTTCTGGGTTCTGACCAGCAGTTCATGAATCATATTCTGTTTAGCCAGGAGTGGAAAGTTACCTCTTTGGCTCAAACTTTTCTTGTTCACCAAAAGACTTGAAAATATCCTCTAAAAATGCTAGCTGTTGAGAACAATCTTAACTACTAATCTGCTAACAGCAGAACTGAATGAAATCTACCTGAAGCAGACAAGCATACTGAGACAACCCATCACCAGAAAGACCCAGAATCAACTCAATCCTCCCCATTCTAGCTTTTCTATCTCAAAAGCCGTGGGAAGATAAGCACTTCAAAGCTTCCGTGATGTGATCAAACTCAACAGCACACGTGAACAGCTCAGGGAGCTCGCAGGCGATGTCATGATGCTCACCTTTCAGGTTGAAGACTACACCACATGAGCTGTAAGCAGTTTTGCCCATTGTAATTGTGCAAGTCATGAGACTTGTCTGCTAAATTAATCTCCACACTAGTTAAGCCATGTAATGTTAATCAAGAAATCTATGCTTAAGAGCTGATTTGCTAATGCTGGGTGTCTACACTTCCTGTGAGGTTGGAAATAAGCTTCTGACACTACGTGACTCTTACCCTCAGCGCGGTAGCAAAGCTGTTCTTCAGGTTGGTAGCTATGCTCATGAGCAAAGGTTCCCTGCAGGTAATCATGGCCATCCCGGCAGTCAGGTTCCGCATCATATGGTGCGCGGCCACACGCATCCGCGACTCCTCCGAATCCAGTGCAAAATCCTTCCTGACTATCTGTTCGCACGTCGTCATGGCAATCTTGATGGACCGATCGACCACGGGATGGACGAGCTCTTGCACTGCTCGCTCAATCGCCTGCCGCACACACTGCTTCAGCTGGGGGTGGGCCTGGAACAGCGGGATCTGGAGGAGGGTTAGGAATGTTACGTTAGAAGAGTACACCAGAATATCATCAACTCTAGATTGTCACATTTTTCAAACCATTTTTAACTATACTGTCACAGATCACGTTCAGCGTGGCACTCCTGTGTTCCACTTGCAGCTATTACAACATCTATTTGATAGTTCCGAAACTGCAACGCTTGCCACACTTTCTTCCAAAGCTGCAGCTGAACACTGACTGGTAAAAAAAGACCAAGGAAGCTCTCCTTAAGCTAAAGTCCTGTGAGCAACTACCCCAACTCTCATTTATTGCTAGAATTAAATTAGATATTAACATATGTCACAGTGAAACTTGAGAGTCTAGTAACTAATAGTTAATACTAATAACTCCCCAAATTTTCCATCTGGTTATTTGTTAGCGTTCATCCTCCTCATTACTTCTGAGAAGCAATACTCTACAAAATAGTTTGAACTTCTACCAGCTCTAACACTTACCGTAGGGTTTAAGGTAATGTGTGGAGCCAACCCTCCTAAAGAATAGACGTTGATGTCATGGTAACTGTACTGGGGCTGTGGAGGAACCGTGGCTGTACAAGTGGTGCTGGTAGCTGGAGTTGTAGAAGCAGCTATAGAACACAAAAATGTTTATATTGAAGCATTACTGAGAGTGGTTATAATGGACGCATATACCTCTAACTTAAATCAGAAACTGATTAAGAAACAAAAGTTTGCAGTTTATTCATGAAGCCTCCTAAATGTAACTTTTTTTCCATTTCTGCAGTGAGTAGTACTGAACTAACTTCAGTACATCTTAGCAGAGCTATTTTTTACAGTGTAGTTTAAATACTGCTATCTCAATAATAGATCTCCCTGCTTCCAGTCCCTTCTGAAGGACAGTTACATACAGCACATGCAAAATTAGTCCTCAGGATGGCTTCTATTCCTTTCCCATCTCCAAATTCTGTATGCCTGCATCTATTACAGGAACATCCAAGTGTTCCTAAGCACTCAGCAATATTACAACAGGGTACATGGCTTCACATTCTTCTCTGCAATAGCATAATCTGTGTTATTAAACCTTGTACAGTGTGGTTCTGAGTTCTACCTGAAATGTACTTACTAGTTGTTGTGATTGGTGGTAGCTCTTCTGGCTGCTTCACATCTTTCTTTGGAGCAGAGAGCTGCTCATCCAGATTTTTCAGGCGATCCTTGTCTTTCAGGAGACTTCCAGGTTTCAACTCATTGATGTCTAATGCAAGATTCTTGCAGAGCACTTCAATCTCAAACTTTAGATTCAACTGTACAACAAATCTAGTTTAGGTTATGTCACAAGGAAACAACCCTGAAATATTTATTGGCTGTTCAACTACCAAGTTTCCCAGCCTAATACACTGATCTCCCAACCCCATTTTTTTCTTTTTTAAAGACTTGAATAGTGACTGAGGATTAAACAGGCATCTTGCACATGCACACTAGCCTCACAGGAGTAGAGTTTCATCCAAGTTCTACTAAGTTAGTAATGCGCAGCTTTCCCCACACTAAAGCAAGAAGTGAAATTTGGTCCCACACAGAATCTATCTTGACTGCTATGTCAGGAAAACCTCATGCTCAGTAGGTATAGAAAAGATGTTTACTTTTAGGTCATGTTCTTGATGTAGCTCAGCTAAAACATTCATAATGGCCATCGTCCATGGGTTTGGAGGCCTGAAGACCTGCAAGAGAAAATGGAGCAGCATTACACAAAAATTCTTGAACTGCTTAGCTAATTTCTAACTGGGAATTTTTGAAGCACAGTTATTTGTGTGTATTGAAAACTGCAGTTTGTAGAGCTGTAATTAGGGCTGAATTTATAATTCTGAGTGAAACTAGATCAAGAAGCAAGCTGAACACTGAACTGGAAAAACAAAGACTTGGTACTTCTGCAATCAGCTGTTCAGCTAAGCAAAACAGAGAGGAGCTGATCAGGGACAGGAGGGGCATATGAAGTGCAGAGGGAAGTAAACAGATCCTAGAACCCCTCCAATGGCATCCATCCATTTCTCAGTGGAGTTCTGTTTGGGGATACTGCAATTTGGTTCAGCCAACATTTTTTTAAACTGCAAAAAGCTGCACAACCCACATACTTTCTCTCACTTGAGCAGAACTCACACTTCAAGCCCTGATCTCTCTTTTCCCCCTCTATGAAATTTCATTAGCTTTCACTTTGTAAAAAATAAAAGTTAATTTCTGCAATGCTTATTTTGCCAGTCAAACAATAACTGTGCCAGCATAAAGTCACTTACCACACTCCTGACACTGGATTCTAAGACTTTGGCAACAAATGGTACTACATAAAGCAATTCCTGCTGTCCCTTAACATATGCTTCCAGTAGCAGCGATTTCACGTCCAAATCCTGAAAGAAACCATCAACAAGTGGTAAGTGGAAGAGGGCAGAGAAAACACCAAGAACACCATAAAAATACCACTTACATGCTATTTCCTTAAAGGATATAATGGCAAGCTTATGAGTCAAGACAGTCCTTCAATTTTACAGACTGATAAGGAGCAGTTATTCTTTTGAACTACGATTTACATACACGTGTTTTTACATAGAATTACTTCCTTCATCTTGGTGATTTAACTTCCCAAACAGCCCATGCTGCTGCTGCCTAACAACATACTGGTTTGTATCAAGCAAAACAGAAGCTCACCGTGTGCAAGATGGGCTTATTTTTAGCCAGTGTAATCATTCCCAGCCAGTGACCAAGGTTCTTTAACAAGGAACGGTCCGAGAAGTTGGCTGCAGCTTTATCTGATGTCAGTAGCACCTAATGAAAAAAGCAACTCAAGCAATGACTGGAAGATAATCACTCAAGAATAACATCAAACAGTTGGTCTGACTCAAGACAAAAGTTTTAGAACACAGAGTTCTGAGCTAAACGTTACAGAGATTCTCAAAACCAGCCTTTACTTCAAGGCAGCACCCCATAAATCTGTACTGTAACAACTCCAAAATTCCTTTCTTTCAAGAGGATCAGAAAGGATTACACTTTTCCAGACCTTACAAGTTACTCTTGTCAAGATTGCTATGTCTACTCAGTAAAATGCAATTTGTGCAGGCAATGCTTCTTAATGCTTCATCACAGAGCTAAAGGCTACCATCTGCCTTTCTAGTGAAACAATTTAATTCTTATTTCAAGACTTAAATCATGCCCCAGCATTCTATTGTTAGCTCTGTTCCTTAGCTTCAGAGTAGCATCAGCTGAACAGAAGAAGGCCAGCTACGCTCCATGAAGCCAGGAGATTCTTTTGCACTACAGCGTAACCCATGGCGGCGAGGAAATTCCACCAACAGGTTTAAAAATAGTGCTTGATAGACAAACTTGTTTCACTCATCTCTTCTGCGCTATCCCTTCCCTTACCTCCTTACCTTCACATTTTTTTAGTCCTCCAGGGATTTTTATTTGTTACACCCCCGTTTTCTAAAACCTTTATTCACTAAAACCTTTAATCTTTAACCAAAACATCAGAATGCAAACATTAGTGCCACATTCTCCACACAAAAGAACGAAAGCATAAGCAAATTTTCACTGTTATAATTTGCAAGCCTTGCATAAATTTAGAACCCGCCCCCATCAAAAAAAAAAAAAGAATTCAAATGCAGGTCTATCCTCTTAATAATTCCTGAACAAGAACAGAACCACCCCAATAATCACAGGGCTAACCTGTTAGCTGAAGCACATTGACATATGTTCCACATCTGAAGATCAGACTAATATTCTAAGGAGAATAGCACACCTCTAAATCTTGAGATCTACCCAAGGTATTAGGAATCTTGCACTACTCACCTTGATGTTTCTGTAAGTTTCATTCAGAACCATTTTATTAAACTCCGGATTCTTAAGAGTGTCAAGGAAGTTTGAATATAAGCTGTGAAAATTTGGCTCAATACTGACTCTTTTCATCACGAGATACTGCGATACCCAAGGCATGAACTCTTCTTTCACTGTCTCCTTCAGTTCTTCAACCTGTCTCCACAGGAGAGAAAAAGCACACCACAAGAGATATGAGAAGAGGACCACAAAACTCATGGGGTCCTCTTTTTTTTTTTTTTCTTTTAAACAGCTCTGAAAACAGTATTTCATTACCCAAAGATCTGGTCAACCAGTAATGATTTAATCATAAAGTAAGTGAGGCACAACAGTTCCTGTCCCCTCCACTTCTCATCTTAACAGCAGGTAACTTCAAAATCTAGGGCTGTCAGTAGCTCATGTTAAGGCAGTCTGCCCATAAGACAGATATCATGTGGCAGCAGTACTGAAAATTTCTACTAGTTTAGAAAAACTACCCCGAATTCCTGCTTGAATATGCAAGAACCTAGCAGCATAACTGCAATATCAGATTGTATTCTGCCCATTTATTATGTGAATGTTTGTTTAAACTTGCGTCTACTAGAAGTACTTTCCTGAAAAAAACACTAATATTTTAGCACAAAAGTATCTGGCTATAGGAAAACAAGGTGACTTGTAGAAGTTGAGTAAAGTAAGATTAAGAATCTTTCACTTGTCCCTCTTTTCCCTGAAAAATTGCATGTTCAAAGAGGTTCAAACAACAAGTGATGGAACTATTTCCATGAGTGATTCCCCTCCCTTTTTTTTTTTTTTTTCCAAATTTTATGAGTTGGAATTTTTGGAGAAACGTCACCTACCACTTTAGAATGGAATTCCAGAAATATATTAAAATTATTTTTGCTAGTGTTCTTCCATACTTGCCTTCTGAGTCATGTTTGACTGAGACAGATTATTAAAGATGAAAGCAATTTTTTCCTGGACATTTTCTGGAGGTTCCACAATTCTCTCAGTTTGATCTGTTGCTACTAACAGCGTATCAATATTGGTGGTATTAATGGAAGGCTGTAGGGAAAACAAGAAGGTAAGAACAGACAATACCTAGAAGTAACATCAAAAGACAGTTTAACTCCATTTTGTCAAGTGAAAAAGAACTGAGCTTTTTCACATAACATCTACTGCCTCTGATGCATTTTTAGCAGCATTCTGAAGTAATTTTACTCTACGATGATCAAGACAGCAAAACAACTCTGCTGTACAAAAATCAACCCCTAACACTTCTGTTCATATACAGTAGGTGCTATTCCAATGGCACCCATCATGCTAGCAGTCTGCACACAAAGTTAGCCTGCAGAACGTGACAGTACAGCAGCAAGCAGTACTTGGTACAAGTTTAAGTCTCCAAGAGCACTTCAATACTAAACTGGGAGAGAGGAATCCCACAGCTGTATCTGAGACCTTTGTTTTTTGCCTTCCACCTCTTAATTCAGGGAGCTTCTTTTAAGAGAAGCACCAGCAAGCAAGACAGACTTCACTTGTTGGTACATCTGTTACCCTACAGTCACAGCTCTGTGGCCTCAGTGTACATGCGGGATCAAGCATGCTCCACGCTTTCTGTGGAAGCACCCATACATCAATCTGTCAGCCCTGCATTAATTCTGACAGGTAGTTAAGAGTTACATCTATGTAAGTGACTTCAGATTTGAGAAACCTAATGCAGTTAAGTCTGCTAGATCAGACATGATTCAGTACACATTTCTCAAGTCTCAGGCAGAATGGTAACTGCAACTGCTTCAGGAGTCCTATGGCAAGTCATTAAGAGAAACTTAATTCTCTAATTGTCTTGGTAATTAAAGCCACGAGAAAACCCCCTTGCTATGCCAAAGTAATTTCACAGCTTCCTGATTAAAAATGCACCCATACAAAAGCATGGGTCATATCTGAAAAGGTTATATGCTTTAGACAAAAAAAATAGCGAGCAACAGGACTACGGCTTGAAAACTGGCAGTACAGAAATTTAACAGGGTTTTGCCTCCATGTACTCAGTCCAGATCAACAACTTAACTGTTACCTCTCCTGTGAGGGTTCTGAAGTCACAGAATGCTTACCGGCACATCCTTCTTGAAGCTGACTCCAGTTGGTCGAGTGATTGTGATGGTTTTTGCAACAGTGGTGGTGGTTGAGGTGGTTACTATAGTGCTGACTTGGCCAGCAATAGGAGCTTTTGCTGGAACTTGGGCCTGGGCCTGAGCCTGGGCAAGTGCAATACTTCCAGGGGTGGTGATTGATCCCTGCATCTTCACAGGAGGATCTCTAGACTGCTGTCCATATTCTATGTACTACAACAGGGTAAACAAACACACAGGAATTCACATACAGCAGTGTAAATAAGCAACAAGTTTCAGCACGAGCAGTATAAAGTATTAAAGATTGTCAGCAAACATTTAACACTAACGCTATTAAGGCAATCTGCAAAATACCATCAAGCCCCTTTATAAAGGGCATGTTTTATCACCATTTACTTCCCTTCTTTCTGGAGAAGGGCCAGAAGCTCTACCCCTGACCTCAGCAAGCAGTTATCTAGTGTCAAGAGACACAACATCCTAAAACATTTTACAGAGCACTACCCAGGAAATTCCATTCCTGCAGGGTTAACAGACCAAAAGAGGGGGACTACATAAAAAAATGTGTATCCAAAAATGTGCTACAAAGTCAGGAAGAAGTCCTCCCCCCCCAGGGATCCCTGCAGCTACATAAAAATGGTAGTCTGAAGTTCATAATGAATAAGTAAAAACCACAGTTTTTAAAACCTGTAAAGGAATTCTGCAGCAGATTTTCTTTTTTCTCCACTTAAATGCGTTTATCCAGGTATTTGTAACATCAGACAGTCATTTCAGGGACACAATCCAAAATGCACCAGTGAAGCTGAGACTGCTATTGAACTTCACAGCTTCGGGTAGATGAAGTCTCACTGACCAAGCTGAACGTTTTTTTTTCTTATTCAGATTATGCTCCCAAACTCTGCCACTAGGATTAGTTTTTCCTGTATTTCTCCTATCCATGAAAGCCAGACACCGCATGATCAACACTACTTTTACTCTCTGAACTACAGGGTATTTCCATTACTTTGATCAAACCTGCAGGAATTAAGTTTTTCTTGCCTTTATCTGGATTTTGTTATCAGGTCTGAGTGTGAAAGTATAAACTCCTCTGAATACCCTCTATTTTACAGAGAAAGCACATATCTTTAAGGGACTGGAATGTGACTCCACGGAAGCACTTTGAAATCTTTGTGCATGGCCATGTGTCCAGATTGATCATGCAGATATACTCAAGCAACTATTTCACTGCAAGCAACCCCAGCAGGTTTACAGGAACAGAAGGTATTGAACAGCCACCTTCACACTTCAAGAAAGGGCATTTGATTCTCTGCACGTGCACTACCTAAAACTGCGGCAGCTTAAACCATTTCTCCAATGGAAAACAGCAAATCTGTTCAAAAGATTTCAAAACCACAGAAAGCCAGTGCACCACCGTGAAGCACTCACCTCCTGTAAGTGATGAGGGAACTGTATAAAGTGACTAATAGAAGCCAAGTGCTGACAATACTGGGGATAGTCCTTCAATCTGTCAGAAATAATACATGTTAGTCAGCAACGTTAACCCTGATCAGAAACAATACTAGAGAGCAATATAAACATAACACTGGTATGTCATTCCCATACTGCATCAGAATTAGTTCTGGTCTGCTCACAGCAGCTGTGCTATAAACAACATTTTCTACAAAGCAGTTTTTGTTACAAAAGCCCTTGAAATGAATTCATTTAAGAGCAAAACACAAGGTCAATTCACAGCAATCCAGCTTAACCTAAATCTCTATACTTCTGACTGAATACACAATTGCATTTATATTCAGCTTTCACAATAAGATTATTGCTAAGTGATTTGTAGACTGGCTCACTGTTTTGAACAGCAAATCAGAGTGCCCTTAACATCAAAGACGAAAGCTTCACCTAGGCACACTGATTATTATAATTCTACTTCTGAATGCTACACCATTACTACTCAGTGAGAGCAAAATCTTCAGGTCCCCCTTAAAGAGGTTTTTAAGAGAAGGAGCAAGGTGGTGGTTAAACCTCAAGTATGTCAGCCTCCAATGCCTTTATTCATCATTGCTAAATCTGCAGCTACAATATCCAGCTCTGAATGCTGCAAGCAGCAGCTTTTAGAGCAGACAAAATACCGTAGGGCAAGAGGTAACACGCTCCTTGCTTTTGAATCCACGCTGCAAGTCCACACATTTCTAGTCATTAAATAATTCCAAGGAACTTTTTAATACATTTGAAGTATCTTCCTCCAAAAATGGGTGTGCATTTTGTCCAACATGTAACAATCCTGCCTACAACTGCAGTCTGCCTTGGGAACTTTCTCTACATGCATTCAAACTAAGAACTTTGAGAAAGTTGTTTTTTTTTTTTTGTGAGAAAGTTTTACCAACCCACAGCTATCGACTTTCTGGAAGA